AAATATAATTTTTTAAAGTAAAAAATGATATACAATAACCCTTATATATATAGAAAACAGAAATGCCTTTTTCAATACAAATTACAGAAAAAAAAATACAATTTAAATAATAAAATCATTAAAGTACTATTAATAAAATTTCTCTCTAGAGTTATTTATTATTAGTATTTTAATAATTTTAATATTTAAATTATATTTTATTATGCAGTTTATACCCAAAAACCTCAATCTCTATGCAATACATGGTGATTAATAAGACAAATGTCAGATGTTTTGTTTAGAAAACGAGACTGCGTATGGGCAGAGGATTCAGTTCACGGGATCGCCCTTTTTTTATATCTTGGTTTTGGTACGGTCTACAGTATTAAAATCACGTGTGTTTGAAAATTTTACATTAATTCCACTCTTTAAATTTCACTCATTAATTTAAAGTTTTTAATTTAAAATGAAAGTTAAAAATTTAATTTTTTATAATATTAAGTAAATAATTTTTGATATGTAAAAATAAATCCAATCAATCCTACTTTAATATTTAATTTAGTTTCATTAAAAGGCTACGAAAGGGAAAAAATAAATCTTTAGAAGTTGACTTGCACCATTCCTACTGCAAGAACACACAGGACCATAGGTTAAAAGACACCAACTTAAAAATATATTCACTTAATTAAAAGAGAATGATACTTTTCAGTTTATTCTATGAACTCTCTATTAATAATTATAAAAATACAGTAAATATAAAATGAACTACGTTTTACATTTTGTTCTTTTAACTCAAAAAATGATGAAAACAAACAAAAACTTGGTTTTCATATTGGAGAGCTCCAAAATGAACGAATGCTATAGCTTCACATGTTCTAGCATGCCTTTTTAATTTATGGCTGAAGTTATGTAAACGAAAAGATATATCCTCTTTCATCATCTTTTCATTTTCACCAATGTTAGAAATAGAAAAGGAGAAGAAATATTGAAAAAAGATTTATTACTTTTTTTGAATAATAATGTATGTACAATGAGTTATATATAAGTATTTACAAAGAGAATATTATAAAGTATAAAATATATAAAAATATATTTTAAAATATAAAATATTTACAATAATTATAAATATAATCTAAATAATTATATTAACATCTTAACAACCTAACATTCGAAGATTGTGCTTGTATAGAATTACTTAATTCGTCCTTTCTTTCCAACTCTAGTCCACCTTCTTTTTAATGAT